CTGCTCCCCACAAAGCCAGTCAGGACTTTGGGGAGCCTCCTCTCCCTCGGAGCAGACTGTCGTCAGGGCAAGAAGCTCACATGGCTTCACCTCCTGGGTCTGACATTGGAGCATTCAGCATATGCCCCTCCGTGCGCTTCCCACAGCGAGTCCGCCCAGGCGGGGTCCTGGGGAAGCCAGAGGGTCCTGCACGCACCCCCCACTTCGCAGTCAGACGTGACTCTCAGCCAGCCAGTAAAACAGAGGTTTATTAGATGACAGGAACACGGTCTAAAATAGAGCTTGTAGGTCCAGAGAACCAGACCCCTGAGCCGGGTCCATCCTGGGGTCCCGTGAGCCAGATACCCCCGTCTTCTGCCCTCACTCCTAGTCCCCAGCCAGCTCCAAACTGAAAACCCCATCCAGCCCCTCCTTCTCTGCTTTGTTCCCTTTCCCAGGCCAGGAGATCACCTGACCTCTTTGTTCTCCCACACCTTTAGCATCCCCTTGCAGGGGGAAGGGCCTGGCCATTAGTTGCTAGGCAACAGAGTGTCGATCAGAAACTGAGGCACCCACACAGTATTCAGAGGAAATATTAAGAACAGATCCACTTCGTCACAAATAGTTAATACATTAATCAAATATACAGAAAGTAAAGGATGAAAAGTGTTAATGTTTGCTAACAGATTACTAACAGAGCACACACAAGTAGCACAAACTGCTTGAATTATAACAAAACAAAGGAATTAGCTTGCAGAACTCCCGGTCACATGATATTATCAAGGCCAGGAACTTAGCAGGTTCCAAACAAGGATTGGAATTTATGAATAACAAGGATAGCCAGTTATAACAGATTTTTGAAGGCAAATGAAGCCTCATGCTTTTGGGCAGAAGCTAATGAGGTGTTAGAAATTTTCCTCGTAGGAGGGATTACTTCCAACTGCCCTATGACCAGCTGGAACTACTCACTATTGATGTTAGGACACTGAACTAATAGATGAACCACTGATTTGATCCAGTATTCAACTGCCAGGGTTCATAAACAGCACTGATCTTAATGGAGTATATTTAAGCATATATTGCCATATTTATAGGCTAATTAAAGCTTACATAGAAATCAGTAAGAGTACATAAAGGGTAAGCTACATAAAACTTACACCAAAGCATAACTCTTTTTAAAAAATAAAATATAAAACATACGGAATTCAGCTGGCACTCCAGAAGTTGGAACCCAAACAAAGAGAAATATTTTAGAAAGCTGTGAAAAAAATTCAAGCGCAAAGCAAAACTAACTGTTGGGTCTCTTTGTCCCTTCTTTCTGAATACAAAATTTCTGGCAATAATAAAATAGTTTTTGAAACTTATAAAGGACTTTATTCCTCCATATGTAACTTTTTCAGCCTTACTGAAAAATCATACTAATCTAGGGCCTACTAAGTCTCAGATGCCCAGGCCTTAAGGATTTGTTTTCTTAATTTCTCTTGTGTTAGAGATGGTTGTTGATGGTATACCATTTTCTAATCCTTGCCTTGCCCTTATTCTGCTGGTCCCAGAATCCCTGGTTAGCTAATATATTGTTTTAGTCTGTTGAACAGGGCTATGCTCCACTGAACTGAATGTGGGTAGGAACTCTGTCAAGTATCAGGGGGTAGCCGTGTTAGTCTGTATCTACAAAAAGAAGTGAGGTTTTTACTCACGAAAGCTTATGCCCAAATAAATCTGTTAGTCTTTAAGGTGCCACCAGACTCCTTGTTGTTTTGGTAGGAACTCTGGAATCCTAATACTGAGTCTGTCATGAACCAACTGGACCTGATTTCCCAGTGTCTTGCTCCTTGTGTAGTAATTTACGCATGCGTAAAGTGGATTTAAAACACTACTGTTTGTTGTATACCAATTTTGTATTCATTTCCTACAGGTATAACTTAGGGCATAAGACTGTGGAGGATCAAGACCATTGTGTGGCCTTGAGCATATCACTTAAAGATAATTAAAACCATAAATCTGCTTCAGTTTCCTTCACTGTGTAAAATAGGAACATTATTTCATAGACTTTTAGGCCAGAAGGGACCATCATGATCATCTGGTCTGACCTCCCGCACATAACAGGCCACAGAACCTCTCCCAGCCACTCCTGTAATAGGCTCATAACCTCTGGCTGACTTATTCAAATCATGATGTAAAGACTTCAAGTTACAGAGAATCCACCATTTATACTAGTTTAAACTAGCAAGTTACCCATGCCCCATGCGGTAGGGCAGTGTTTCCAAAATTTGGGATGCTGCTTGTTTAGGGAAAGCCCTTGGCAGGCCGGGCTGGTTTGTTTACCTGCCGCGTCCGCAGGTCCGGCCGATCGCGACTCCCACTGTCCGCAGTTCGCTGCTCCAGGCCAATGGGAGCTGCTGGAAGCAGCGCGGGCCGAGGGTTTCTGCAAATCTGACCTTGGAGAAAATTCCTTCCCAACTCCAAATATGGTGATCAGTTATACCCTGAGCATGTCAGCAAGACCCACTAGCCAGACACCTAGGAAAGAATTATCTGTAGTAACTCAGAGCCCTGCCCATCTAGTATCCCATCTCGGGCCATTGGGGATATCTGTTAACAGCAGTCACAGATCGGCCACATGACATTATAGACAATCTCATCAAACCATCGCCTCCATAAACTTACCAAGCTCAGTCTTGAAACCAGTTAGGGGTTCTTTTTGCACCCACTGCTCCCCTTGGAAGGCTGTTCTAGAACTTCACTCCTTTGATGGTTAGAAACATTCCTCTAATTTCAACCCTAAACTTGTTGGTTGCCAGTTTACATACATTTGTTCTTGTGTCAACATTAGCACTTAATGTCTCTCCCTCCCTGGTATTTATCCCTCTGATGTATTTAAAGAGAACATTCATATCTCCCTTCAGCCCTATTTTGGTTAGGCTAAACAACCCAAGCTACTTGAGTCTCCTCTCATAAGATGGGTTTTCCATTCCTCTGATCATCCTAGTAGCTCTTCTCTGCAAATTTATCTTTCTTAAACATGGGAGAAGTAACTCACAGTGGTGCTGTGGTGATTTAACAGTGGTTTTTTTTTTTAAATATAGAATTAGAGCTGATCAAAAATTTTCTGAGGGAACAGTTTGTTTCCTGAAAATGCTGATTCAAAGAAGTCAAAACCTTTCACAGGAATATATAGATTGTCAAAATTTTCATGGGAAATTATTGAAATATTTTATTTTGATAAGGTTGAAAAGCTTCATTTAGACTTTTATAATTTGGGACAAAATCAAATGTTGATATCTCTGAATTTCCTATGGGTATGGAAATTCCATTTTTTGATCGGCTTTAATTAAAATATTACAGCATTGCATGGAGCTAACAAACAGTGAAGAAATGAAGATATGAAGGAGCATGAGATATTATCTAAATTGCCTGAATCCTACATTTGGACAAGATTGAAAACAGAGTATAGACTCTATTCCTTTGTTATGGATGTTTTTTCTACACTTTTGTTATTAAATACTCATAAACCTCTTTAAAAATCATGATTATTCTTTCTGTGCTGGTGTAACGACGCTGGTTCTGGTGGGACACAACTGAGAGTGCTAATTCAGGACAAATTGCTTAAAACAGGGCACTTACAACCCAAGGCTGGGGTTTCTCCACCTCTAAGGCAAACCAAACCAGCCAGACAAAAAGGACTTTGTTCTCACCCCACTAGCTAACCACAAGTCACACAAGCAATTCCCTTAGACACTCCAGTTATCCAGTATCACCACCAGTGCCACTCGTTATGGGGACAAATGGTTATGAAAACCAATACCCTAGTAAAAGAAAAAAAAGGTTCTCTTGATCCCGAAGGACCAAGCCCCAGACCCAGGTCAATATACAAACCAGATCTTACCCACAAATCATGCTGTTGCCAGTCCTTTAGAATCTAAAATCTAAAGGTTTATTCATAAAAGGAAAAAGATAGAGATGAGAGCTAGAATTGGTTAAATAGAATCAATTACATACAGTAATGGCAAAGTTCTTGGTTCAGGCTTGTAGCAGTGATGAAATAAACTGAAGGTTTAAATCAAGTCTTTGGAGTACATCCATAGCTGGGATGGGTCATTCAGTCCTTTGTGTAGAGCTTCCATTTGTAGCAAAGTCCCACCAGAGGTAAGAAGCAGGATTGAAGACCCGATGGAGATGAGGCATCAGCCTTTTATAATCTTTTCCGGATGTAAGAACACCTCTTTGTCCTTACTGTGGAAAATTACAGCAAAATGGAGTCTGGAGTTACATGGGCCAGTCCCTGCATCCTTTTCTGAGTTGCAAGGCGTATCTGCCTTCTCTCAATGGGTCAATTGTATAGCTGATGGTCCTTAATGGGCCATCAAGCAGGCTAGGCAGATCTAACACCAACTTGTCTGGGATGTCTCCCAGAAGCATAGCGTAAGTTTGAAATACAGGCAGTATAGAGCCAATATTCATAACTTCAACTACAAAATTGATACACACATATAGACAACATATCATAACCAGCAAACCATAATCTTGTCTTAGACACCTCATTTGATCCCCTTTATACAAGATTTGGTGCCACAACAGGACCTTGGTTGCAACCATGTTCTATATGGGCCCAGTTCAAATCAATAATGTGACAGACAGTTTTTCATGATTGGTTTTAGAAAAGCTGATTGCCCAACCAATTTTACAATCTGGAATGTGATATATGGGCAGGAAAATTCCTGAGCTACTTACAAGCCTGGAAACATCCCTACTATCCATTTGTTGTGACCTGAATTTGCTTTTATGGACAGCTGTTTCTTACAAAAAAACAAAACAAAACAAAAAACACATGTGCTATTATTATAGGAACTTGATAATTTGATATTTTTGCTGAAAGCAAATATCTCAACATCTGTCTGTCCCAAGTGCAGCATTTTAGGTAGATTGCTATTTTTCATTTCGGTATCATGCTGGCAAAATGTTAACTGAGAGGCACATTGTTATCTGATAGGCATATTGAAAGCAGTATTATTCTTTTTCAGTGAAAGTTTGTGAGCCTTCCACGTCCACCCCTTGATATCTTCATGGGAGATGCTCAAGATTGTTTAACCAACATGCATTTCTGAGCTGTGGGCTACTCATCAAATAAAAGGTATTTTAACTTTTTTTTTTTTTTAATTTAATCACCTGTCATGAAAAACTTGTTTGACTTGTTGTGTGTTTTATTTATTTATTTAACTTTTGACATTTCTCCTTGCTGTTCTACAACCCTCCCCTCTTTTTTCTGCTTTAGGCTTTTAACATTTTTGGTCAGGAAAACAGAATGCTTATATTCTATACTCTTTGAGGCCGGGGTACGTTTTCATTGTATGTGTGTACAACATCTATTGCACTGAGCCCTGATCCCTGATTGGTGGCCTGTGGGTACTACCACGCTATAAATAATAAATAAGGAATAAGAATGCATAGTGTCTCCTGTGACTGATGTACTCCTATATGCTGCTCCATATTTAGCTTGACGGGGCTGCTGAAGAGCTCTGCTGTAGCCTCTGAAATTGTTAGCATGATGTATCTTAAGATCTTTGTATCAACGGTATTAGTGAGCAAGACTTCCAAAGTTACTTAGAAATCTGGTAGTTCTGGATGTAACAGTTCCAAGCATAATTTTCATTTTAAATGCATTTGTCCACAAAGATTCAGGTAATAGTTTCCTGACTACATTTTTCATGCCCATTTCTTCTATTTAAATAATCCAAAACCAATTATTACCTCCCCAGTCCTTAGGTCCCCATGGAGCCTACCTCCCCCCCCCCGGGATTTTTTCAATAATATGTGATGTCAAATACTATAATCTGACAGATAGAAATAAGGAACTCTTCCTGCTTATAAAGATACCAAAATTTGTACCGTGGGTGGAAATATTTGAAGAAGATAGCTCAAATATTTTTCCACAAGTTAGAAGCTCAAACGCTTAACTGGTGACAAAGCGAGTATATCTAATCCTGGCAAGTTTAAAATGACTTAGTTACTATGAACTTGAGATGATCAGGAATTAGTGGATGAAACAGTTATTCACTGGAAAATGGCAGTTTGTGGAAAAAAACAAAACTTTTAGCAGGAAAGGATCAGTTTAAAAAAATTCCTGTTCAAAAAAAGAAAAAAAAATGCAAAGCTTTGAAATTATTGAAATGTCTCATTTTGATCTGTTCTAAATGAAAAGTTCTGGTTTGGGGGTTCAAAATTACTTTTTATTTTGAGTTAATTTTATAGTTAAAAATAAAAAAGATTGAACTCAGAACAAAACATTTCAAAATTATTGAAACAAAACTTTTTGATTGACCTGAACTTAACCTCCCCTCTCCCGTGATTTTTGGTTCATGAAATTTTTTGAAATTTCAACAATTAGTCACAATTCTATTCGGGGAAATTTTCAAAATCTCAAAATTTTTCATGGGAGGGGAAAACTGTTTCTCTTTTAAAGGCCCGCATATAATACATTCGGTTATCATCAGTGTTAAAATAGCTAGAGCCACTACAATTTGAAAAACTGTATTTTTGTATTTCATGGCTCATTTTGTGAGTACTGCATAATACTTTAGCCAACATTTAGGACTAAGCTAAAGTCTGATTGTGGACAATTTCCAAATGTTAATAAGAGTGCTGGTGGTTACACAGACATGACTATTCTATTTAGAACACTGTTCTCACAGTACCAAATGCAGTAGGGACTTTTAGATAAAATTGAATTCTCTACATGCTTCATGATACATTTTCAAAGTACATATTTTTTTTTCATGTTTAGCAGTAGTTAAATGGGAATTGATAGTTCATAGTTTTTCATTGCAAGAAACCTTGATAAAACTTCCTTAAATATCATGTAAAGAAACTACAGAGAAAACACTTAAAATGTACAACAAGTTCACATAAACCCATGGAAATGAGATTTCATGGTTCCAAAGCTTTTGACATTTTATTCTATCCAGTTGGATAACAGGTAATTGTGACTGCCTTTGTACTACTGTATCATTTAAAGTAGAAAAATAAAATGAATCACTTGTGGAATAGATGAGAACTAATGCATAGAGTGGAAGAATGCACA